GTTTCGTCTGCTAGTGTGTGTTTGATTCGTGGTGCTCCAGCATATAAGAGGCCTGCAGCATGCCCTGCCCCTCACACATAGGCTTCTATAGAAGGAAGCTTTTTTTGATTGGGGAATAAATCTTTTTCATCTTATTCAATGAAAAATATTATTATAAATATTATAATTATATCAATATTATTAAGTAACACGCTATTGCTATTTTTTTCCACTTACTTCACTGACTTTATGAAGTTTAGACTTGAGCCATACTGAAATTTTCTAAAGTCCTTGGCTTCTTTTGGGTCTTGATAGTTAATAGCTGACAACCCACTCCAGGGTAAATACTGGGATTCTCAGACGACAGGTGAAATATCTTCAAGAACCAAATGAAGTCCAGTTGCTTTGACTTGAGCACTTCAACCAACCATGAACTGTAGGATTGAGAATCTACATCAACATAAAGGCACAGTGAAAGTGCAAAGTTGGAAAGGAGAGCATGTTGGAGTTCAGTTTAGGGTGAAGCATCGTACCTGCTAGACATGAGCATATTTGCAAAGTAAACATCGATTTCACCAGTTTTGTTGTAACGCTGAACATCTTAGCTGATGGTTGAACATTCAGAGATTCTGTTTAGTGTTGACCACCTCCTGCTCCTGTTGGTAGTTGCTTCAGTTGCTGAGTTGAAAATTGTTAAAAGTTTAACTCAGTACCACCCACTTCACTTCACTTTTTTTTTTACCTGTTGTTGCTACAAGTGACTGAATTTCCCCGACATTTTTTGGTTTTTGAATACTAAATCACTGCAGTCTCTTCTCGAGAGGATGCGCCTTAAAGCTGCTTGCAGTGCGGTGCACTGACTATGTTCAGGATGTGTTAAATTGTACTCAACACACTGCAGTTTGTGCACCAATTAATCTAAACACAAACTTTGTCTGAAAAATATTGCCAAGGTATTTCTGAAGTTATTTCAAGATCACCTGCAATTTACTGTACTTTTTTCACTCTGTGTAGAAGAACTGTGCAAGCAATATGTGTGACGTTTCAATTAAGAATACTCTATTTTGTAATTTTTAAAATAACACCAACTTGAATTCTGCAGGAAACACCATTAACTTCATTGCATTGTTAAAGAATTTAGGATCTTTTAAAAAAATGTTTGTACCTTCATCCTGGCTCATGGTGGAAAAATATGATTTTCCAGCCGCCTTGTGATTTTAAACACAGAGCTCTTTGGTTACTCGGCATACTGCGCTGAAAGTACAAGAGCTGCTCAGTGCACACAGGTGTTTCTCTTCAAAGTGATAAGTGTTTTGACCCACTGAACACCTGAGTCTTCAGTAATACCTTCCCATTCACCAGTAGTCCCCCTGCCAAAGCTCCTAATGGCCAAACGGATCGCTCCGCGTTGTGCCCCTGCATTCACACTCACGTGGGGAGGCCTCTGAAATGAAAATGCCATTATAAAACATTTACCAGCCTGCTGAGTTTACATGTCTTACAAGAAAAGGACCGTTTGGAGCGGTTAAGTGTCACATAAATCTTTCAGCACGCTAATTGAAGTGGTTCCCCCAATAGGCCACTCTCCACAGCTGGTATTACAAATCACACTACTGTGGATAGGCCAGCCAGCTGCAAACCAAATCTTACACCCACTTGATAACGCTGTTAAGACACACACATGGTGCTCTGTGGGTTGCTGCTGCTGCTGCTAGTTTGCTCAGACAGCTCCACTGGGAGTGTGTAATGTAGTCGTATGTAAACACAAGTCATCTTTCAGTGAAATATGCTCTGAGAGGAGGCACAAGTGTGTCCCCCCTTGCCTCTCTTCCCCCAGAAATGCAACTTATTTAAAGCTTCTTTAAGCAGGTATGTTGAAGAGGTACTGACTGGGGGTAGTAGTTGCAGAAGGTGGTGAGGTTACACCTGCAGTAGTCACCAACTCACTACTGAAACTAGCATGCTACAGAAGCTACAGAAGCTTTGGTGGATTATTTTCCTTCAGCTTCAGTTATCTTTAGTGAAAAGAAATCACCCAGCAGCTGACTGGAAATTTGGTCCGCCATCCAAAGAGGAGCTTCACATCATATATCAGAGCATCAAGTGCAAAACTGTGGAGGACCGGTAAACTCTGGAGGCCCTATTCATGGCTCAGCAATTACACTGACACTCAGACTTGATGTATTCCACCTCCTGCTCCATCTTCCCTCGCTGTCCTTCAAAACCTCTCTGTTACCTGCCCTTCCTATATTTATCTCTCCTCCTCCTTCCCATTAATTGTCTTTCTGCCTGCTTTTCTCTCTTTTTGTCTTCCCCCCTCTTTGCCACAGAGCCTGTTGATGAAAATCCTTTTTATTTCGTTGTTTATTAATGGATTAGAAGCGATAAATGAGTGGTACACTGTTTCACACCTTTTGAATGTCTGAATTTATTAGAGTAGTTTTGTATGAGAAGTGCAGCTCCTCAGTTCATCCAGCGTGTGATATGTGAACTTTAGCTCCTCTTCCATTAAGCTGACTTTATTCTGATAAACACCAGGTGGGTGGAGCTTCTGTACTTCTGTCTAAATGATCCACATAGGTGACCATATTCAGAAATCCTGCAGATCCTAGAATAGAAAAATAAAAGTTTAGAGCTGAGAACAGGAATGGACTGACGACTCTCAATTTGTACTTTGAATTTGGCGTAAAAAGCATAAAGTCATCCTTCCGTGCATCAGTGGGTCAGGATGCTGCTGGTGGGGGTGGTGATGTAATGGTGTACGGGATATTTTGTTAACACACTTTGACCACCTTAGTGCCTGAGCATTGTTATTGACTATGTAAATCCCTTTATGACCAGTTAGTGATCTTCTGATTAACAGGGAACCGTGTCACAAAGATCAAATGAGTTTCAGTTTCAGTTACAAAGCCTCTCTTCACCTCACTACAGTTGTATTTTTATTGTAACTTCTTAGTCAAAGAAGGACTAAATATTAGGACTACATCAATGTTTTAAAGAGTTGACCTCATTCTTTAGCAACTTTTTATAGCCTCTTCTTTTCTTAGTAATCAGACCTCTTTCAGAACTCTGAAGGGGAATCTGAAGGGGAATATGGCGCGTGCCAAATGGCTGACTGCAAATTTTCCATAGATATTTATAAAAATTATATTTATAGATATTTAAATTAAATGATTTTATAATCCTTTAGAGAAAACCTGATATATAAAAGCTTATATATAAAAATTCTTTAGGGGGAAAAGTGCAAAATAGTTTCAGGTTTGGCTGAAATGAAAGAAACGTGGCAGAGTGACTAAATACGACACAATTTAAAAGCAGTTCTTATTGAGCTTTATTTTGAACACTGGTACCCAGACTTCCTTAAAGAAAACATCTGTGTGAACTGGTGATTCTCACATATATCACATGTTTTTTACCATTCAGGTCTGACCTGTGCTTTTTAAATTGCATCAGCTCATCTATTTCTCGTGTTTTCCAGTAGTTTAATGGCTTTGTTAGTACCTGCGAATGTTCATTCATTACAAAATAAGCCCGTTTTTATTTTTACTGAATTATGGTAGTATTTTTGCTACATCTGTAGGCAAACTTTACAAGTGACAATGAGGCAATCAGATGAACATTTCTCCATTCAATACTCGTACCAGACAACAGCTGGCGCTAACCCACAGGTCATGATGAGAGAGTCGATCGAGGGTGCTTTGATGGCTTGTTTTGTCAGGTGACGCTCTCTTTAATATCTGAGTGGTCATCACCAGGGGTCCCCTTCCCACCGCTGTATGTGGGCCATTCACAGAGCAATAACTGCATCCCGCTGTGCCCATCATGCCTCGCTGCCAAGACCTCCTCAGCACCATGGTAACCAACACCTGTTCCCCTAATTAGAGGGACACTGGAGGGAAAGGAGATGAAGAAGTTAATGAAACACTAATCTGGTCCAATCAAACGGCCAGGCATCTGCCTCCTCGCTGCAGCAGCAGGTGACCATAATGGATGCCTTATGGGTGCCTCCCCCGCCACGTCACCCTGAGTGACCTCATCAATGCCAGATCTCTGCACGGAGCAGACAGGCAGGGAAGAGCTGGAGGGAGGGGAGAGGAGAGGGATGCTGTTTCCTGGATGGACAGCATACCTGAACGGCGAGGTGTCAGCCAAAAAGAGATGAGGTTCTCTCTGCACGGCAGTTGGAGCAGCTCCAGGTCGCACCAGCTGCACAGCTCTTGTTTACAAGCTGCCAACTGCTGCCAGAGAGGCCTGATGCTCAGGTGTGCTTTCTAAAGAGATCAGTCCACTCATATGAGCTGTTATGACACTGTCTGTGTTGACCATTAAAAGAACAAAAGTGTTGTGCATGATCATAAACAGTTTGTGTTTAATTAATAGTTAATATTAAACTCTGGCTCTTTTCCACAGTGGGACTTTTGTCCTGTGTCGCTTCCCTCAGCCCCTTCCCAAGCCTGGATCAGCCGGTGGCTTCCTTCCTGTTAAAAGGGAGTTTTTCCTTCCCACTGTCGCCAAGTGCTTGTTCACTGGGGGTTGTCTGATTGTTGGGTTTTCTCTTTATTACTGTAGGATCTTTACCTTACAGTATAAAGCACCTTGAGGTACATGTTTGAAACCTAAAATATTCAGTTAACTTACAGTAAAGACCAAAAGGACCTTTGAACCTGTCCTCCAAATTGTGGAGCTGTGAAAATGATATTTTAAAAAGTCAGACTGAGAAAAGCTGAAGAACAAAAACATGAACATGCAAAACGGTTTTTACCTTTATCTACTTCACTTATACAACAAAACAAGTAATGTTGGCATGGCCCACGTGTTAGATTCAGTCTGGTACACCAGTAGTAACTGGTTGAGGAAAGTCAAATTCCCTCCTCATTAGAACTGAGGATACATAGTCTGTTGATGATATGGAGTGTAAAAGGTCGACGTGTCTGTCTGATATCAAACTGACTCCAGTTGTAGATTTTTGCAGTGTTTCGTTTAGAGCTCTCCTGAACCCTCTTTCTGTTTTCACTCAACAGGAAACTTCAAAGGCATGTGTAAACAGATAGACCACTTTCCCGAGGAAACAGATTATGAAGCAGACCCATCTGAGTACTTCTTACGTAAGTATATATTCAGTCTTTACTTTCACACACAGAAACATTGTGACTTTTTTCTGTTTGTCTTTAAAGTGACCACACGAGAAAAAAAATCACTTCAGGAATTTTGCTTCTCCTTCTATAATTTCTTTTTGAAATTCTTTCCACTTTTTGCTCAGACTGGAGCACGGTGCCAGTCGCTGCTCTTGGCCCGTGTGTCAGCACCGTCTCTTCCTGCCTTTAGCGTGAGGCTGGCCAGGCTGAGCCCTGCCAAGCAGCTCGTCTGTTTTTACTGCTTGGCTGTGTGTAACATAACGTGCAGTGTTACAGTCGGCTGTGTACCCTGTAAACACAGCCCATTGATTTCTGCTCTCTTTTTCTTTGTGCAAGCAAGACAGAGATGCTTGTCGGACTCATTTGCCTGCTAATCCTAAAAATCACAACAGGTGCTGTTACTATCACTAGGTCAATAGTCCCATTAATCTTTGTATTTGCTTAAAAGATAAGAAATTCAATTTAGAGATTTAGATCAGTAACTAATTGTTAATACCTTTATGAGCACACCTAAGCTTTAAATCCTTTTTTCTTTGAGTGGATTTAATTTGGTTTGTTTTTTTGGAAGGACAGAGAAGAAATTTTTATGAGCTGCCTTCTTTCTTGTAATGCAATCTGTTAACACAGCTTTCATAGAGAAACTTTTTTGGAGTGTAATACTGATTTTGGAAACGCATTGGCTGGAGTCCTCATATCCACACTGAAAAGTTTATATGGACACTTGTAACTTTGTGACTGCTCCAGGCCTGCTTATAGCTGATAGTGACTGTACATGTTTCTGTTCTGCTGAAGTGTGTGGTGCAGCTGTCACTCATGAACTGTAGATACGGAGGTACAGTTCTTCATTGCACAGCAGGAAATATTCGCACTACTCAAACTTCTCCGTGTGCACTCTGTGTGCAAAAGTGCCCCACTGCATCCCCTTGGTTCTGAATATCATTACCTCTGAGACACTCACGGCAATTCAAGAAAAAAATCATAATTTTGGCACCAATGTTGATATGAGAAAACACTAACAGACTACTAGAAAAAGCATAAGACAGATTGAGGGCAAAAAGCATGTGATCATTTGACCGAAAATGAGACTTTAAGTCATAATATCCAGAAACGATTTGTCATTTTTTAACTAAAGGCAACATAATTTTAAGTAAGTAAGAATGAATTATGTTTAAATATAAAGGTTAAAGTAAAAGGAAAGGTGTAGGACCTTCCCTCTTACTTTTTTGTTTTCTTTACAAATCTTTACATTTTTGTTTTTTAATTTCATTGCAATCCTGATGTTTTTGTGTCTCATAGTGTTGTGGAAAACTCTAAATAAAGAACAAATGGCAATAAAAATAAACATTCTGAATAGTAATAGTAGTAGTAGAAGGAGTAGAAGTATTCATTTTTATAGTATTCAAGATTTGTTTTTAAACTTCCAAAGAAAGCCAGGCCTTTGTCATCTTTTCGTACATATGGTTTGAACTTCTAACGCATTTTGTGCAACGTGCAAATAAATTCAGGTACAGAAATATTGATAAATCACTGATTTACATGAAGATTTGCGTATATGCACTGCTAATAAATGAGGCCTAATAGCTTGATACAGAAGGCGGGTGTGAGCTTCATCCGAGTTAAAAAATATTTGTACTCTACTCTCTAAAGTTTGCTACAAATAGATGTGTAGATGACTTGGTCATACAACTATATTTTTCTGTAAGTACTGACATCTAGAATTTTTACGTTTCATTAACACTCATCATAATTAAACATAGGTGCCAGCTTTAACGCTCTGTCATACTTCATAAAAATGCCAATGTCCCGAGCCCTGGTTGACCTCATTCCCCCTGCAGCCTGCAGTGATTTGAAACTGTAAGTCAGAAAGTGTCCATCCTCTCGTCTTCGTCTGCAGGGATTGTAATCGAGGCCTGACAGACAGCCTAACGGTGTGTGCCAGTGCTGGATATTAACCCCGGCCAATTAGGCTGCGTTTGACTCAGCGCTCTGAGCGGTTGTTCCCGCCTGTATGCGCCACGGTTACGATAACAGTTCTGGTAATGATTCTAACAATGCCATAGCCCTGGCAAAAGCAGATCACACTCATAACAAGGCATCTCTCAGGCTGAGGATGACAGTCATGGGGTAGAAGCAGCGGTCTGGCCCTCAGACCACTGATGCTCTGTGCACGTTAACCTCTTCCCAGGCTGTGACTGGAGGAGAAGGCCGCATTGCTCCCAGTAGCTTGCCAATTAGGACACTCACATCCATAAATATTTCAGCCTCCTTCTTATATAGGTCAGGCCTCTCTCGGTCGTTGTCTCTCTCACTCTCTCTGCATCTCTTCACCCTCACACCTCACACTCATAGTTTTACATGTCAGGAGTTGCACAGTGCCTCATGTCATCTCAGTCACGATGATTTGCAGCATTGCATGTTTTTTTTTTATCCCGTATGCAAGATAAGGTCATGTGGGATGCAGTATGCGTGTCTTTCATGTTAAACCCCAGTGATGCTTTTATACATCGGCGCTTTTCCCTTTCACGGACACACCTGGCATTTCCATAATGAGGAGTTTCACGGTGCCTCTGGGTGGCCAAAGATGGAGAAAAGCTGCCTTTGCTCTCACAGCTGAGGGAGAGAGGGGATAGTTATGCAACAGGAATGATGTCACTTCAGGTGAAGGCCCGACGGAAGTGACATCACCGGCGAGCACGGCGTCCAAAATCAAGGGGACACACTGGTGATGTCATCAGACAGCATAGTGAGGAGGAGGGAGTGAGAAATTCGGTGATGTGGCTGCCGAGCATAAAACAGACAAATCTGACTTTACTGTGCTCAACATACACCCCCGCTCCACCGCACATGCACAGATCTGCTGTCCTCATGCCGACATCCACGCATGTACAAATACATACGAGCATGCCACATGTCAGTAGCTTCTCTCTGTGCGTGTTTGTGTGCGTGTGTGTGTCTGCTCCGTGAGTCCAGCCCTCCCAATAGCAAGGCAGTTTGCGCATCCACACGGGGTTATATAAGCCAGCTGAGGCACACTAAAGCGCCACTGGGTTTTTAGATCATGCCGTGTTGGAGCTCCCATCATCGGCTGCTCTACTGGGTGCTAAGCAGCTGAGAGAGAAGAAACAGAGGAAGAAAACGCCTAGTTATGCAATCTGCTAATACTAAAACCGAACAACGTGTAGCAATGAGAGGGAAAAATCATGTGCGGGGAGGAGATGTGGATGCCCGTGGATCCACGCTGGAGCAGGAAATTAACTGTTAGTCACAGGCAGGCATTTTAGTCTCTTGATATTATTTTTAGCAGTATTTATTCTATTCAATTCAATTCAATTCAATTTTATTTATATAGCGCCAAATCACAACAAAAGTCGCCTCAAGGCGCTTCATAGATACAGAGAAAAACCTAACAATCATATGACCCCCTATGAGCAGCACTTTGGCGACAGTGGGAAGGAAAAACTCCCTTTTAATAGGAAGAAACCTCCGGCAGAACCAGGCTATGGGAGTGGCGGCCATCTGTTGTGATTGGTTGGGGTGAGAGAAGGAAGACAGGATAAAAGACATGCTGTGGAAGAGAGACAGAGGTTAATAACAGATATGATTCAATGCAGAGAGGTCTATTAATACATAGTGAGTGAGAAAGGTGACAGGAAAGAAAAAACTCAATGCATCATGGGAGTCCCCCAGCAGCCTACGTCTATTGCAGCATAACTAAGGGAGGATTCAGGGTCACCTGGTCCAGCCCTAACTATATGCTTTAGCAAAAAGGAAAGTTTGAAGCCTAATCTTGAAAGTAGAGATAGTGTCTGTCTCCCGAATCCAAACTGGAAGCTGGTTCCACAGAAGAGGGGCCTGAAAACTGAAGGCTCTCCCTCCCATTCTACTTTTAAATACTCTAGGAACAACAAGTAGGCCTGCAGAGCGAGAGCGAAGTGCTCTAATAGGGTGATATGGTTCTACAAGGTCATTAAGATAAGATGGGGCCTGATTATTTAAGACCTTGTATGTGAGGAGCAGGATTTTGAATTCAATTCTGTATTTAACAGGAAGCCAATGAAGGGAACCAAAACAGGAGAAATCTGCTCTCTCTTTCTAGTCCCTGTCAGGACTCTTGCTGCAGCATTTTGGATTAGCTGAAGGCTTTTCAGCGAGGTTTTAGGACTTCCTGATAATAATGAATTGCAGTAGTCCAGCCTGGAAGTAATAAATGCATTCAGCGTCACTCTGAGACAGGATATTTCTAATTTTAGAGATGTTGCGCAAATGGAAGAACGCAGTCTTACATATTTGTTTAATATGTGCGCTGAAGGACATGTCCTGGTCAAAAATGACTCCAACGTTCCTCATGGCGTTACTGGAGGCCAAGGTAATGCCATCCAGAGTAAGAATCTGCTTAGATACCATATTTCTAAGATGTTCAGGGCCGAGTACAATAACCTCAGTTTTATCTGAATCAAGAAGCAGAAAGTTAGCGGCCATCCAGGTCTTTATGTCTTTAAGACATTCCTGCAGTTTAACTAATTGGTGTGTGTTAGCTGGCTTCATAGATAGATAGAGCTGGGTGTCATCTGCATAGCAGTGAACATTTATGCTATGTCTTCTAATGATGCTGCCTAAGGGAAGTATGTATAATGTAAACAGAATTGGTCCTAGCACTAAACTCTGCGGAACACCATAATTGACCTCAGTGTGTGAAGAGGACTCTCCATTTACATGCACAAACTGGAGTCTATTAGATAGAGACAATACAAACCACTGCAGTGCAGTACCTGTAATACCTACAGCATGTTCTAGTCGCTCTAATAGGATATTATGGTCGACAGTATCGAACGCTGCACTAAGGTATAGCAGGACAAGCACAGAGATGAGTCCACTGTCAGAAGCCATAAGAAGATCATTTGTAACCTTCACTAAAGCTGTTTCTGTGCTGTGATGAGCTCTGAAACCTGACTGAAACTCTTCAAATAAAC